AACCTATTAACATAACATTTAAATTACAAATATATTTATTTAAATTAGAATAAGGTCGTTCATTAAATTCTGGGCACGCGAGAGTAAAAAATGGACGAATTTTCACTTTGACTTTGATGTGGAAACCTAAAAATAAAATAAAAGAATAATAACCAGATTTAAACATGAAAAATTTTGCCTAATTATAATATGTATATGTTTATATGTATATATGTTTATATGTGTATATGTTTCTACAAAAAATGTGTATAATAATATATTCGTCCTATAGTTAAGTACCTACAGAAATGTCGCATCTGAACATATTAATTTCATAATCTATATTCCATGACACGAGATGGCGTCTTAGGAATAATTTGTTTTATTATTAATTATTAATATTTTTTTTATTGATTAAGTATCTTATTAACCGATGAAAAGTAATTCCTTGGTTTTTACTGACATTTCTTGAATTATTTGTACAATATCTAAGTACACACGACGGCATATTTTTATCAAGAGATTTTTTTAAATCAACACAACACGTGACAATTCTACAAGCGCCTAGCGAGTGACTGATTAAAGTGCGGTGTATGCACCGCAGTTGAGTGGAACAGAGTAGCTGAATGCAGTGTCGCCTCTAGTACGTAGTACATAATAGCTAAATGATATTATTTTATTATTCAAAATTTTCGTTCTGATAATTTTTTCCTGCGTCGTTGGTTTAGTCGCCGTAAGTGATAAACGCTGTACTTGTGTCTCGGTTAGGAAGCCCGGGTCGGACCATAATCAGTAATTGGGTTTTCTGTAGAAAAGTTCGTACATTTCATCCATACTCCTCTTAAAACACCGTTAAAGCCACAGAAATCGTAATAACAAGACAATAGAAGTCGCATAAACGCGTGATCTTGTCGCCGCTATTATGTGTTGACGAACATAATTCACTATTTTGTGAAAACATAATTCACTATTTTGTGAAAACATAATTCACTATTTTGTGAAAACATAATTCACTATTTTGTGAAAACATAATTCACTATTTTGTGATTTAGTTGCGCGGAGAACGTCGTACGTGAAAACAGCCCCCGCCCGCGATTTCATTTGTCACCTGTGATTAGCTATGGCGTGACGTCGTATTGTTTATGTTCTGCGTGTGTATAAACCGCCCGCAGATATTTATCGTAAACATGTACCTCTAATATCGAGTACCTAGCAATGGTGAGATTTTATCTTGTCTCGTGAAAACTTAGACGGTGCGATTAGACGATATATACCCACGTTGGAATTTACAACGTGCGCAATGAGCACTGGTGGAGTTTCTAAAACCAACACGAAATCAAAGAACATGCTCATCATGTTCGTTTCTGTGTTAACATTTGGGCGGCCATCATTAACGACTACATCTTTGGTCCAATATAGGATGAAGGTCAGTTGATGGCAATAACTTATCTGCAAATGATACGTTCTTCATCGACACAGTGTCGGAAAAGGTTCCTCTCATCAATCTGCAAGGAATGTACTTCCAGCACGATGGATCTCCAGCTCATTACGAACGATCTGTGCGCGCATATTTTGACATCCAATTCAGTGATATTATTTATATAGAATTAGCCTTTTACACGAAGCATCGCTCGCGTGGGAGAACATAGTTAATACTACTCCGCGCAAAATTAGATCACCTGTACAGTCACCTCGGTATCTTGCCTCTGTCTATTCATCCAATGATTTTATTTTATTTTATTCTCAAAAACTGTTGAACGTAAAAGTAAAAAAGTTAAGTTACAGCCTATATACGTCCCACAGCTGGGTGCAAGCCTCTACTCATTTCTGAGAGGGTTTCACAATAAATGTTTTACGCAGATGATTAAAAGTTGGCATAGATAAAATACGCTACAGGAACACGTGATTACGTGAGTTTTTAGAATTGCATTGGTATCATATCTTTCTCTAGCAACCCCTTCCACTTTTTATATCGTGCATGTCTTGTGTCTTTACATAAATTATCTTAGAATTGGAATTGCGTTATTTACATTTATACATAATTTGAGTTAATATAGTTTTGAGCAAATAATGTTGAATTTCATGGTATTCTATTAAAATACAGCATAAAGTCTCTATTGGATATTGATTGGCACCATAGAATATACACCTATGTTACTTTTCATGTGAATGGACTTATAAATTACATAAATAAAAATAAATGTACTGGGTCTTCTATTCACAGTGGACGTGATAACATTCATGAACGGGAGTTGAAACGTATTCGGCTTGTACAGACGTCGAACGAGGATTCACAACCCCATATAATCGTCCCGGAGGATAACTGAAACTGGAGATGGGTAGCAGTGACTTCCTGATAGCATTTCAAAATAATAAAAAGCTGCAGTTGACAACCCGCCCGCTAAGTGCGGCAAACACGGGAAATGTCCAGTCTATGTATAAAAAATACGCCATTAAAATTAATCTTCTATAATACATATAATAATAATGTAAATTGCAGATGTCTGCACATTTTATATTTTTGTAACAAAATTGATTGACAGGGACTAAAAATAGTAACTGAATACATTTCTATCATTTTTATAATTGTCTGTCTGTCGTTCCGTCTGTCGGTCTGTCTGTTTGTTTGTTAACGTATCATGTATAAAGTACTGGTTTATATCAAAATAATCGTTAGGAAAATTGTGAAGCATATCTTCGTTTTAAATTTAGTCTTTGTTTTATTAAAATCAGCTCATTCTATCAAAAGTTATGGTTAATATTCTAAAGTATGGGTACTAAATATAGGTAAGAATTTGTTCAATGGTGACGTTTAGTGATCAAGGTCATTGGATCATTTTTTTAATTAAATAATGTAAAATAGTTTTCTATAATGATATAATTGTATCTAAACGCAGTAAACAAAAATAATAAAGAATAACGTAATAAATATTTATAAAAATATATAAATCCTTATCTTAATCTTAGTTAAAAAGTACAATTTAAAAAGTTCAAAGGTAACGAATGTCATCGATAGATGGTGCTGTGCAAATTATTTATTAAATTTAAAGGTGTGCTCCCTTTTTGAATCCCTTTTTTCTTAACCGCCGAGAACCTACAACATGTGTATTAAGAATGAAATGGCTCGCCACCAGTAAGAAGGACTTAAGGTTTTCTTCAGTCATTATACAAAACAAAGCAGCATAATTTTATGATGGTTGTGAATGTTGTGGCTTGTAGACATCTACATTTATTCTCAAATAAAAATCAAAATTGCGCGCGACAAACCAATTCAGAATTTTGCCGTATCAGTTTTAAAACCAAAACCGCAACTTGCCGTACTGCAGTGCGCGCTTACCCCTATCCTTTTATTAATTTAAAGAATTGTATAAAATTTTAAATTGTAAGTTTACTTTCTGATCACTATTTTAATTTAATGTTTGATGTGTCAGTGAATTAGTCAATGAGTGATTTTTGGGTTTCGGCAAGGATCATATCAATCATACAGAAGCTTGGCGGTAAACATATAATAAGTACTTCCCTTTTGCAATTCCAAAAGTTTTAAAATTTACATTGTGGTAAAACTGAAAAATTACGTTACCTGACGTTGAGTTGTTTTATATTATTCTTACCCGTTCTTTTCTAAATATCATATAATTTTTATTTTACTGTAATAATAAGTTATCTACTATAATTTTATACATATGGTGCTATAAGTATTTTCAAGCACCATAAGGTTTCATTATAAATGAGATATGAAGGACACATTAATACGTAAATAATTGCTTGCTGCTTTCAACGTAGTGTTTGTATTGGACCAGCAAATATGTTTTTCTTTTTATCCAATAACCGTTACAGCATTTTAAAGTCCACAGCTGAACATAGGCCTCCCCATTAATTGCCTCATATTTGGCATCATTGATTTATAATAACTCAATGTTTTGCATAGTTTACACAATCTATCACGCACGCTTTACCCCATTACGGAACCGAAAAAGCGGATTATATACTATAATATACAATCAATATTAATATGGTCCATGGCTGAGTACATGCATTCAATGAAATGTATTGTTACGAGCTTAATATACCATTATGATAATTATGAATAATACTTATAAAACTTTACAAAAATCTGCCCCTGACCAATAGGTCATTACATATAAAGTATAAAAAATTGTCTATTTATCATTGTGTCCGAGTTAGTATTCCGACAAAAATATAGTGAGATCAAATACAGATAAAACGGCTTTACGTGGTGCTTTCTGAGGCATAGGGATGAAACACTGCTAAACCCTTCTTGATAGAAAACCCAACTGATGGTCAAAAAACTTTCCTAGGTTGAGATTAGTTTTATTTTTTATTTGTTTGCAGGATGAGAGAAATTATAGACTTACACAATTTTATTATTTTTTTAGTGTACGTACTTAGTTTTAGGTAGATTGTTGTTTTCATTTCAAATGTTTTATTCAATATCAATAATTAGGGAGAGTGGGGCAAGACGGGGTGCGGGGCAAGACGGAGTGACCGATCTTGAGCGCGAACGAATTAGCCAATCAGGATCGTTTTAGCAGCTGACGTCGCGCCGCCATTACGGCAATCAGTCATCGAAGTGAGCGGACAAAGACTCCACGCGTTTTATTTGTTTTCTGGAAAAAACTTTTTTTGACAAATAGCTAGTGATTTTTCTATACTATATAGGGCGTGTAATTTCCGTAAATAATAACACCTCGGAATTGATTTAAATGGTATCAAATGTGACAATAACTACACTAACAGGTAAGAACTTGTTTTTCTCTGTGCTGCGTATTGGTTTTATTAAGTTTTTTTTTAAATTTGATTCGTAATGCGGGGGCAAGATGGGGTCGGTCGGTCGGTCGGGAACCCCATCTTGCCCCTTAGCCTTTGCAAGCGGCGTATAAATGTCTAATTTTACTGTGTATTTTGTTCTAGAATGGTGAGAAATTATAAAAAAAACAAGTAGAGGGGATTGGTCAGAAGAAAGTATGAAAGATGCTGTGAAAAATGTGGTTGAAGGAAAAATGGGCTACAAGCTTGCAGCAAAATCATTTTCTGTCCCACAGACAACTTTAGAAAGAAAAGTGAAGCTTGCGCGAGAAAGTTTAGATAAGAATGATCCAATGACTGTTAAATTTAAGGTACCGTTAGGCCCAAAAGAGCAAGTTTTTACTGATAATGAAGAGGAAGAGCTATGTAAATACATAATAGATATGGAGAGCAGGCTTTATGGACTGACAATGAAAGACTTAAGAGGTTTAGTCTATAGACTAGCGGTAAAAAATAACAAACGTTATCCGTTTAACAATGAAAAAGAAGAAGAATGGGCATTAGGATTTTTAAAAAGGCACCCAGAACTGTCTATTAGACAGCCTGAAAGTACCTCATCCGCACGTGCTGCTGGTTTCAATAAACAGGTGGTAGACTAGTTTTTCAATTTTTTGGGCAATGTTTACGATGAACATCATCTAACACCTGATCGTATATACAACTGCGATGAAACTGGTATTTCAGTTGTGCCCAAAACTAAATCAAAAATTATCGCAAGAAAGGGCAGAAAGCAAGTGGGAGCCATAACATCTGCTGAACGAGGTACGACCATTACAGTAGAAATCTGTTTTAGTGCTAGTGGTAATTTTATGCCACCCATGATGGTATATCCTAGAAAAAGAATGGATCCGCAACTTATGATTAATGCTGCCCCCGGAGCTTGGGGAGTTTGCAGTGATTCGGGCTGGATGACTTCAGAACTTTTCCTAGATTGGTTTAAAAAGTTCGTCGAATTTAGCGGAGCAACACCTGAGCGTCCTGTTTTGTTATTATTGGATGGACATAGTACTCATACGAAGAACATTGATCTCATAAATGAAGCACGCACTCACGGCGTTATCATTTTATGTTTCCCACCACATACAACTCACCGTCTTCAGGTTGCAGACGTTGCTTACATGAGACCGTTAAGTACCTACTACGATCATCAAATCATGGCGTGGCATCGCAGCACCCCAGGGATGACCAAGTAGCTGAAATTTATGGAAAGGCGTTCATACAAGCGTCTACGATGTCAACAGCTGTCAATGGTTTTAAGAAATGTGAGATTTGGCCATATGATCCAACAGTATTCTCTGAGACCGACTTTGCTCCATCTTTGATGACAGATATTCAGCTTAATGTATCCGACGCACCTGCAAGCGATAATAGTTCGTTGATAATGGAATCGTCATCCACAGAACCAACAACAAATAATCAGAATGCGCCAATTATATCCGAAGCCATTTCTGTTGCGGCAACTTTGACGGATGCAGCAGTGACGCCAGTAATAGTGGAAACAGAAACATTGTCGAGACTTGATACTGCCGCTAGTATTTCTGCGAGTACGTCACTATCAACTAATCTGGTTACTGCACTTACTGTGCTACCTAATACAATGTCAACCCCTGAACCAGGATGTTCTTACTGGCTCGATAACTCCGATCTACACGAAAGACCACGAACTCCGCAGCAATCAATATTTGGTGTTGTAAGTCCGCAGAAAATAATGCCCTTTCCAGCAACTACAAAAACATCTCGCTAAACTAGAAAACGAGGAAAAACCGCGGTGATCACATCTTCGCCGTATAAGAATGAGTTTGAAGAAACGATTAAGAAAAAGGAACAAGCGAAAGAGGATAAACAGAGAAAAAAAGAGTTGAGGGAACTTAAAAAATCTGAAAAAGTCCCGGCAACTAAGAAGAAAAGAGTAACAAAGAAGAAACAAGGGGCTAAGAATAGATCATTAAACGAGAATAGTGACAGCGATATTGAAAATACACCTTGTTTGTATTGTAAAGGCCTATATTTGGACTCAAATGAAGGCTGGGCTGCTTGTTCAGCATGCGGCAAATGGGCTCACTGCAGCTGTGCAGGTGTGGACGACGAAGATGCAGATACCGTGTTCACTTGTGAACATTGTGAACAGTCCTAAATGGTCGTTTGCTGCGTACCCCATCTTACCCACGGGGTACCCCATCTTACCCTAGGGGTGGGGCATGATGGGGTGAATGGTGTATTTCTACTTTTTGATTTTTTTTAATTTTATTATGTTGATAAGACTGCCAAATACTCGTTAACAATGAAGACTGATTATCTAAGAAGATTATAAGAATAAAACAAATTAATAAAACTCTTTACGGTCAATTTTATTTAACATCAAACCTTAAGGACCCCGTCTTACCCCACTCTCCCCTTAGTGATGGTGCTTGCTTATTTTAGGGCAATATTTTATTTGTTGTATGGAAACCAAGCATTGGCTAGAGAAATTCGGGAACAAATTAAGGATTATGTTATTGCGGTCATTTTGTTGTTTATTTACAATATAAAACACAAGCGTACAGTTCACCCTATTCATTTCTAGGTCTGTGGGTCCGTTATTCCGTTATTTGTTCGTTCGTTTGTTTGTCTGATTGACCAACTAACTGAATGTTTTTATTCAGATCAGTGTCTCTCTAAATCTTCGCATCAGTTTAATTTACAAATACATCATGATCACTTAGAATAGCAAAAGTACTGATCCCACGCGAACGAAGTCGCTGGCACTGCTAGTATCGTAATAAAGTTAAAAGATTGAGAAAAAAATTAAGCAAATTGAATATCGCATTTATCTCCAAAAGTGAAATTGAGCACAGGAGAACCTACGAGTGCAAAATTAATTCACTGAGGTCGAGTTGAAGTGCAAATGTAAAAACAAAAATATCTTTTTAACCGACTTCAAAAAGAGGGAGATTCTCAAATTGAGTGTCTTCCTTTTTAGGGTTCCGTAGTCAACTGTCTGTCCGTCTGTCCGTCCTCGCTTAATCTCTGTGACCGTTAGTACTAGAAAGCTGAAATTTGGTACTAATATGTGTATCATTCACGCCGACAAAGTGGTAAAATAAAAAATGTTTTATTAGGGTAGCCCCCCTATATGTAAAGTAGGAAGTGATTTTTTTTTAATTTCAACCCTAATGTGTGATATATTGTTGGAAAGGTATTAAAATCATTTTATGATAATGTCAATAATTTCGGAAATAATCGCTCCAAAAGTAAAAAACAATGTGTCCCCCCCCTCTAACTTTTGAAAATATATAAGTAGTTTAGAAAATACGAAAAAATCTGAAATGTAGAACTTTATAAGGACTTTCTAGGAAAATCATTTTGAACTTGGATGGATGCGAACATAATGGATACCCACCTTTAAACTCATAAGTGGGAACACTTATTGTGACGGACAGGAAACTACGGAACCCTACACTGAGCGTGGTCCGACACGCTCTTGGCCGGTTTTTTGTATGTATGTTCCGCGATATCTTCGCAGATTGTGAACCGATTTTAATAATTCCTTTTTTTATTAAATAAGCTTTCCCTCAAGGGTTTTCACATTCAATTTTGAAGAAAAATTCCGCCCTCGAGGTTGGGAAATAGGGGAAAAAGTTTTATATTGGACTATTGTTTAAGGAATTTAATTCTTTTTATTTTAGGATAGGATGACAAACGAGCACACAGTCCACCTGTTGATAAGTGGTTGCTGTGGCCCTTCGACATCTATCCTCGATTACGAATCAAAATGCATTATTGTCGATTACGAATCAGAATGCAGATGCGTTGTCACCAGTGAGGATTAAGATGGAATGCCTCATTTCCAGTAAAAAGGGTCTCCGGTTCTCTACACTCACCATACAAAACACAGCAGCATTAAGCTACTATTTTACGCTGGTATTCTGTGAGAGCGTGGTACTTCCCCCGTCGACCCGACCCATTGGTGCTACAACTATACTACTAATATAACTGCATCATGGCTCTACCACGTAATAAAAATACCATCCATCGCCCCCAGGCTGGTTCTATAAAAATTCATACAAATTTTTTATAAAATAAATTTATAGTAAATTGAAATACGTTTAAAAAAATCCCGCTGGTGGCTTTCTTGCTGGTTCTTCCCAGTACACAGGTTTTTTTTTGCGAACCAGTGGTAAATAGTAAATAAAAAATACCGTTCAATAAGTGTTATACAATAATCAATATTGAATAAAAAATCATTCATTTCATTTCATTCATCCTTACGATATTATCATATATTTTCGCAATTTTAAACCGATTTTGAACCAATTTTAAATATTTTTAATACTTCAAGGGTGCTGCAATAGAAATTTGATAACTTCCTTTTTTAGCAATTTGAAGTCGGTTTTTACTTTTTGTTAAAAGTCATATATACACACATATGTTCTGTTACAAAACTCTATTCCTAGATTATGTGAATAATATTTTTGAAGTGTAGTGTTGAACTTAGGGATGATAATAACATGTATAGCTAAAGTTATGACTGATAGAGAATGCCATAGGGCATTAAATCCGCCCTTTATAACCCCTAATCCACACGCTTCCTAGTTTTAATGCCTTGATTAGTCAGCGTTTTGACATTTGCTTAACTAGCGTTGGTCTACTCGTATTGTTTCGTAAGTTGTTTCTCAAAGCACGAAAACAAGAGCTTTATTTTGGTATTTCAGGTAAAATAATTTAATGATGTAAAGTACTTTAAACCCATTTCAAACAGGGATAGTAGAAATATGTGAATGAGAACCGAAAAGTAGCTTTTATATTAGTATAATGTTCATTTTTCACTCATTAACGTTATTTCGAGGTCATTTCGGATTAATTCAACCCTGAAGTCGAAGGTGAATTTTCAACACAAGTACGAATTTAACTATTTAGTTACACCATCAGCGTTTGATAGCAAAAATATGTACCGATATAATATCAAGATTTGAATCAATTTAAAGTGCCAATTCCGGCCACTATTGTAAGTAACTAAAATTCTTGCGAAGCGTATTTGTCCGGCACACTAAAATATCATAGTTTTTGCTTTAAATAATGAACATTTTTATACTATTTCTAAAATGGTATTTGTAATATTTATGTTATATTCTTACATTTTCCAATAATTAAATCTAATTGTTTGAGAATACACCTTCAGTATTGCAATAAATAAATAAAATATTTAACGCAAACAGTAACGAATTTACACACAATTTAGGAAGAAAAATATTGCAATTTCGACGGCTCCGTGGCGCATTTTCTTAGCAGTGGCGCGGTGCTGAAGGCCGCGGGTTCGAACCCTACACGGAACGAGTATATTTGTATAGACTACAAGTAATTGTTTTGGGTCCGAATGTTTGTCTTTGTGCAACTTATAAATGTAAACTGCCTCCACGATACAGGAGAACATCCCAATGTGGGGGGATAAAGACTTTTTAAAAGAAAGAAAAAACACAAAGTTAACAATAAAAAAATTAAAATATTAATGTCAAAAAAATCAAATTGTAGTGGAGTTACGTGAACACATTTGACGCAATGCACATTTTACGTATGCAAAATGAAATCAAAAGAATTAATTCACAATTTTTTTATTTTTTTTGGAAAACATTTTCCTAACTTGTTTAAATTTTAATTTAAGCTTAGATGACATTAATAATAAACAAAGGAATTAATAAGATATAGCTTTTTAATGTTTATTTATAGGATATGATAACAAACGAGCACACAGTCCACCTGATGGTAAGTGGTTGCTGCGACCCATAGACGTCTACATCTATCCTCGATTACAAATCAAAATGCAGATGCGTTGTCACCCGTGAGGACTAAGATGGAATGCCTCGTTTCCAGTAAAAGGAGTCTCCGGTTCTCTACACTCACCATACGAAACACAGAAGTATTAAGCTGCTATTTTACGCTGGTGTTCTGTGAGAGCGTGGCCCTTCCCCGGTCGAGCCGACCCATTCGTGCTACAACCATAACATAGCTGCAGCGTGGCTCTACCACGTAAAGACTATGTTGATGGGTGGAGTTTACCTACTACGCTTCAAATTAATTTATATTCATAATTATTAAATTATTTTTCCGACATCCGCCTTTTTCAATAACGTCAGCTCTGTCCGTTTAAAAAGCTGCACTGCTATCAGGTTGCACTTGAAGGATATGACTCTTCAATTACACATCACTAAAAATATCTTTTAAATCAACTGCCTCGCGTTTCAAAATTAGATTCTTTTGGTCCTAGAAGAAACGGCGAAAGAAACTCCATGAGACAAATTAACTTATTAAAACTTTTTTATTTATCTTTATGGGGCTATCGGTATTTGACTATATGAGTTTGATTGAAGCGAAAAATTTGACATAAAACATTTGACTGAATCATACCTATTAATGTGGTCCAATACTGACTTATTAGCTGATGTCGATATGAAGCGGGACGAAGGGCCCTTAAATTTGGTTTTTCTATTAAAATGTCTAACATTATTGTTTGATTACAGCAAAAAAGATGAGCTTAAATAAATTTCAGGACTATCTTTCTTCTATATTTAGAGATAGGAAATTGACCTTAAATGATTAATTTATTTTATGCCCTAACATGCCAAAATATAGGGACTTATTCGAGACTCGTATAAATCAGTGACAACTTTTAATGGCTGCAGCGCCATTAAAATCCGTTAAAATTGACTGAAAAGGTATTTGTATGGTTTACAAAAGGTCGTTCCGCGTCTGGCTGTTTTTTCATGTACAATTTATGAATTTGCAATTATAGAGTTAATTTTTATAAAAAACCTTATATTTCTAGGCCGCTGGTCACCAATGAAAACGATTACTATTTACACCTGAAAAAATGTTTGTCTCTTATAAGTTTGGCGGGTTTAGCAGAACGGGGGAGTATTTCATTTCAGGCTATCACTTGCAAGTTTACACGGACTTGCATACAATATTGTTCTCATCTTTGTACCAGGGAAACCATTGGAAGCAACTCGAATCGTCGTTGACCGTACCCTTCCTGTCACTGGCCTTGCGAAGAGACATTGCATCTCTGTGCATTTATATCATCTTTATCGCGGGGTCTACTCCTAGGCGTTGCTCGGATTGATTCCAATTTATTTCGAAATTTCATCGTACATTGCGGTT